GTATCATTGGATAGAGCAGATCAAGCTCTACAAAATGACCGCCAGGGGTTCGCTTGAGTCGCCTTCCATGTAAAGTAACCAAAATCGAAAAAAATTTTGTCACCGAAATTCGGATTTTTCGGACCAAGAATCCTACAGATCTCCAACTTAATCATTATACAGTAGGCATATAGTAGTACACAAATATGCCTTTACCGAATTTTTTCCGAGCAGAAAGTGAGAACGAAAATTGTCCAAAAATGGCAAACTCTGCCCTCAGCCCCTCAAATATATGTCATTGTATACTACAAGTTGTGTACTTTCTAAGTATAATTTTAAAATCTTACCCCCTGTATGTGCTTTTATATTCGAGGAATGCCAAGTTTTACATGAAAAACCTGAAGAAAGTGGCATTTTGGCATTTTGGGACCGTATTTGTTTCTTAATTTTGAGTTCCGGAAAATCCACCAAATACATTTTTGGGTACTACTATGTGTCTACTGTATAAAGACCAAGTTGGAAGTCCGTAGGAAGTTTCTGTGAGAGATCCGATTTTTGGGGTAGCTGAAAAATAGTGATTTTTGACTATAAAATTTAGCTAGGCTTACGAATTAGATGGAGCTTTGGTAGTCTTTCCTTAGAGCTTGCTGCGCTCTACCGAATGGTACCCTAAATCTGTCAAAAAAACAAAAACAGCTCAAGTTATTTGGAAATGGAGTTTACTTTTGGGACAGCTTAATAGTTATAAAGCAGAAAAATTGTGCGTGTGTATGTAACCTATGGATGGCACCGTCCATGCACTGATAGAGCTGAAAATGTGCACACTTATTTCCTCGACGCTAGAGAAAAACACAGGCCATTTTTTGCGGCAAACCGGGTCCTTATATCGATTTACGGATTTGCTCACTTAATTTAAGAAAATGGAAGCTTAAAGTGTCTTGATCAAGCATTTTCCTCTAGTCATATGAGACAAGCGGGTACCCATTTTGATCCAAGTTGGCGCCTTCAGTGCGCTTTCGTTTCGCTTCTATTGAAAATTTTTGTGCTTTTCTTTCCAAATTGACGTTGTTCTGTTTATGAACGCTCTATTTTAGGTGAAGACAACTCATGACAGCTGCGATAATGGATTTTTACGAGCCTTAACAAGCTTGAGAGCCTTTGTTCCACAAATCCCACGTTCTTTTCTCAATAGCGAAGGCTCTAGCATGTTGCAGTGAAATACTTTTCCAGTTTTGATTAAAGAGTAAATGTGCCTATCTTGATGATTTTTTGTAATGCGTCGATAGGGCTGTGCTTGTACGAATGTGCTCTCTAACTTACGGTTTAATTTTTATGACCACAGAAGGAAACTCACGAAGTCTGAAAGTGGTCCTGTGCTTCTTCTTTCTTCTGCGATTTTTAATCACCGGTATCTTCCCATTAGCAATGCAGGAGACTGAATGATATCTGGGCGCTAGTGAGAGTTGCGAAGTTCTCCTTCCGTTTAGGTCTTTCTCGAGTTGTGATTAGTGGCTTCCACTGCTTATTTCGATCTACCCCAAGTAGAAATGCATTTTATTGATATGTGAAACGAGAAGCGCAAAGCCGAGCGCGCGTTGCGTATGCGCCGCGGTGGTACCTATGGGAAGCTGGCCGGGGTCCACACTATACCTATCCGTAAGTACTCCATCATCCATTCCATCATCCTTCATTAGAGGTATAATAAACAGAAGCAAAAAACTGTACAAGCCGCGTTTTTCAGCTTATGGTATAACACCCTGGTGATCCTTAGCGGCCGAAGGTCTTTTCTTCAAAATAGTTTTCCCTTCTTTGAAGTTTACTAAAACTTCCCAAAGTTGCACAGCTTACCTAACCTAACAGTCTAAGCATGTTGCTGGCAAGAATAATCAGGTTATTGAAATTTCGAATTTTTCGCCCTCAACTTTCAGCATGTGGTTCATCGCAATTTGCATGACTACAGCACAGCATTTGTTCTCATCAGCAACATGCTTAGCACTGTTGGGTTAGACAATCAGTACAACTTTGGAAAGTTTCCATCAATTTCGAAGAAAGAGAAATTGCTGAAGAAAAGTCGTTTGGCTGCCGGGGGTCATTAGGGGATCATGGGCCAGCGAGTGTACGCCTAATATTAGGTCGTTCTGAAAGTAATGCCGCTTTTTTCGAATGAACGCCACTATTCGTAGAATCAACGTTTTCAAGAGATCTTAGGCGCTCGATGCAGCATTTCATCCTCTTTCAAATGCTTTTAATTTTACTGCAAAATGTTAAATGAGCTCCCTAAAAATTACCAAAATTTGCGACTCATGCTTTTTGCCATGGTCAAGCTCGGCTATTTTTCTAAATTTTTGTACCTAATCTCCGAAAAAGTACAAGTGGCAGGTAGATGTAGCAAACACTATAAAACACAGAGTAATTTTTTCTTTTCCTCAGCTTGCTTCTCAGAGTTTTTACAATCAATTTCTCAGTGCCATCAAATTCCATATTTAGTCAAGTCAAACCTCACAGAACAACAACCGGCAAGCGAATCGGGTCTCATTTGATGCAGCTTTTTTTCCTCTTTCTAGCGTGTTTTTGTTTCCGATTCATCAAGTTTTCCGGCATAAAATCTCATAATTCAACTTTTCCAAGGGATCCCAAGGTGTACCCTAAATTTTCGTTGCTAAACCGAAGCGGTGAATGCTCATTTGGTTTGTAAAATTAGTGTCAAACCATAATTCATCTTTGTAAGTTCCAAAGAAGATTTATTGGTGTTGGATGAATTTGTGTCTGAAACGAGCCTGCTAAAATTCGGTGGTTTCATCAAAAAATCTGTACAAAAATTATGACGAGCTCTGGAAAGTAGAAAAAAGTTGTGCTATTTCCTATAGGGTTTGCTCCATCCACCAGTACTTGGACTCCTTCTGAGGTTTGTTTTAAGATTTTAGAAAAATTGTGAAAGTTGGCCATCTCAAAAAGCATAGGTCGCAGATTTTGACTCTTTTCTGGAATCTCATTGAGTTTATTGCAACAACTTCATAACCTTCGGAAAGAGAATGAAATGCTGCATAAAATGCTATCAGAATCTCTTACACCTTTGTTTCACGAGATGTGGCATACGTTTCAAAAAAGCGAGATTACCTTCTGAACGACCTAATACTATGCGTTTACATGTTCAAGTTTGCACTTTTGCACTGCACCTTGCACTTAAATTCACTGGAAGCGTTTTACGCTGCACCAAATATTACGCAGCTATTTTGGTTTTTGGCAAGACGACTTTAGACCATTCCCTTGTTAGGTCGGCCTTCTAAGGGAGAGGAGCGGATGGATATACGATCTTATGTCCGCTAGAGAAAAGTAAACTTAAAAGTAAAGAAAAGGAAAAGAAGAGAAAAAAACTCAAATGTTTGAATTTTCTGATGTTCAGTCAACTCTTGAGCAAGCTTGGTGAAATATTCACACAATTCAACAGTATAAGCTCTGTAGCTTCAACGATAAGTTAAGGCAGTTGACCACTACTAATTTTTCTCTATGAAATAAATAACATAATAATGGGAAATTTGGCAGGGTTTTCAGATTTAGTTATATGCTAAGTTAACTTAGACTGCAGACGAAAACGCTTCAGTACTTTCTTGAAAGGGAAAGAATAACTGTGAAAAACCACAGGTCAAAATTCACTGTATTTTGCCAGGAAAGAGTAATTAGTGATCGTGCCCATTCTTAACAAAATCTAGTAGAATGCTCCTCAAAGAGCTAGGCTCACAACTGCTTTCGCTATCTGCTGACACACTCTCAGGACTAGGCTATGAGCTTTTTTTCGCGTCGGTTTTGCAAGGTGGGCGCATCAAAATAGTTGAAACTGGAATTTTGAACAGACTCAATTGAACCAGGTTATCCTTGCCTACCATAATATTTTTTGCTTGCAATGCTGTTTTTATCAAATAGGAAGGTTGAGTGCATATTTTGATGTTAGAAGCGTCACAACGTTTCATTGGAGAACCGCTCAGATTGAAGACAGATAGGGAATCAGCGTTCCAAGGCGCAGTAAAGGCGTGCCCCAATTTTATTTTATTTGCAAATACGCTTATTTCATCTTCTCTTGGCCTAAAAATTAATACAGTCTTCTGACTCAAAAAGATGCTTATTTTTTTGAGCAAATTGTCTTTTAAGTCGGATTTTGGTGTTTTCGTCATTGCCAACAACCTCATTAATGCTGCTTATTACTACCATGTGATTTCTTGCGACTTTGCCACAGGATCAACCTAATGTGCTTTGTATCCTTCTATGACAGTTGCTTCCATTAAGTCGAAGATTATTGGAGAATCTCACCGTTTTTTGGATTTCCAGAGTAAGGGCATAATATTCATAAAAAGATCAATGCTGTACTAATCATAATAGCATTGAAGGTTTTGCAGAAACACAGCTTTCTTCTAGCTATATGCCACATTGTCAATGCCGGTCCTTGCAGAGAATGAAAATCTACAAACTTAACTAATGAAAGAGAATGAGGTTCATTAACTGTTTCTCCATGAAATAAAAAAGAGTCAATTGTGCAAGGCCTCGGGCGGAGTTTTCAGCGGTTTCATCGCCTCGCGATTCTCCAACAGGGCAACAGTTACGAGTCCATTACATGCCGACCGTCTTGCATTTCGGTTGTGATAGTTTTCTCACACAACTAATCAGGAATAACTATCACAACTGAGATGTAAAATGATTGGCATGCAATGGACTTGTAACTGTTGTCTTGTTTAGAGAGGAGGCGACAAAATGGCCTGAACTCTGCCCAAGGCTTAAGTTTGCATGGAGGGGATGACTAGGCATTGGAAGACATGGGTCCCACTGATTCGTGCTAAGTCATTCCCTAAAGCATGATTCTTCCTCGGCACAAAAGATTATCGGAGGCAGCAGTACAGATGGTCTGACTTCAGTGCGCAACATATAAGACGATTTCTTCTGCGACAACCGCGAAATCCCTTCAAATCCGCTTATCATAAAGGATGACTAATGGGACGTCTAGTAACTTGTTCTCATCGCTCAATAAATAAGGAGTGTATCACTTTGCTCTTCACTTTGTTGTCATAGAACATGTACATCGTTCTAGTTCTGCTCTCGTTGGTCTACGTAGTCGTGCCACAACACCATGCTGCTGCGCAGTTTGCGCTGCGTGATATCAATTCCCTAACCGAATGCGTGGTGGGGTACTCGGCCCGGGTAAGTTTCACCATCTTGACGATTCTGCTCAAAAATTTCATGCTTTTTAGAGATTGTACGGTTATGGATGCTGGTGCCGCACAGATGGTTTGGGTACACCAATCGATGCCGTTGACAGGTAAGTAAACTACCAGTCCCAAATTCGCAGTCATATTCATGAAAGATCACTTCTAGCTGCTGCTTTAATCTTGATCAATGCTACGGTAGGGCTGTGAGTAGCGGTATATGCAACCCAGGGGAGAGGTATTCCCGTTCGTACAAGTGGAATTGTGTCAACAAGCAGGCCGTATGTAGCCGTGAGTAGCCTTTGAGTGATATCGGGCTAAATGCACGCATTCTCAGATTTTTCTTTTCGGAAAATACGCCTCCCTGCTCTGATTATCGCAATTCTCCCACTCAAAGGCAGCCGCTCGGTGAATGACAACTTTGGAATATTTATTGTACTATTTCCCTGAATGAGCTAAGTCCAAGACTATGCTTTGTAGCCAAAAGATACCAATAACCCACTTTTCCAGAAAGTGGGTTATTGGTATCTTTTGGCTACAAAGCATAGTTTTGGACTGCAGCAGCCAACAATCCAACTGCCGCGTGGATGGGTACGTCATCGCCACTCATGAGCCAATCGCGCTCTAGAGGGCAGGCATACACCGTCCGCCCAAATAGCACTTTTCACGTCTGGAAAAGCAGGTTATTGCTATAATTTGAAGCTGCAAAGCACATTCTTGGACTTAGGTCATCCAGGGAAGCCGAGAACAATAAATATTCCAAAGTTGCCATTCTACGAGCCGCTGCCTACAAGTCATCCAAGGCGTGACAAGGAGGACTAGGAAATAGAAGCTGGAAGATATCATAAGCTCATAGCTATTTGTGCCTCTAAAAAAGTTGAACCGGTCGCACAAAGCGGATTGAGTGGTTTTGCTTGTCAAGATTTGCAGCCCATCAAATATTAAAAGTATTAAGTGAGGTGACGTGAAAAACTAAAATGACTTTGAAAGTTAGAACAATATTCGGTTGCATTCTTTCTTCACTTCAATCCTTGTCATTTGATGCAGCAATAAGTGCTCTCAGTTTCCGTCACCGAGCGCTAAATAATTTTGTTTCGCGGAACTAACTAACTCAGAACGAGATGATAAGAACAAAAATGAGATAAGTGGGGCGATCCCATTCAGCACAATCTCCACAACATAAATCTGCATTTACATTTTTGTTATATCAGTTGATATAATCTAGCTTGGCGTCTGGTATCCTTTCTTTAGCTACGAACACCGGTTGCGCAGCGGCTCTTTGCAAATGTGACAATGAATGTGCTCAATGCTGGAAGAGTACTGGGTTTATACCCCCTGTACCCTTCAGAAAGCCGCAATGCCGCAAGTAAAGGGCAATACGATACACATGGAGACACTGCTCATGGTTACTTAATCTTCAAAGTATTTCACATGGCTTTCCAAATCTTCCTCTTTTGATGATTGTTTATTCTGCAAACGTTCTTTTTTCAAAATTTCATGCAATGTCTCCTGACCTCCCATGTTTATTTGCGTGAATGTTTCATGCATAAAGTATTTGGCAGCATGTATTGTAAAGAGTCATTTTACACTTTTTAAGCAGCTATAGACCATACATTTAGAACTCAGATAAACACCTCAATGCACAAAAAACAATCCAAACTCAGTTTCAAAATTCTACGGATCCCTTTTATTGAACCACATTTTGAAAATGGACAGACTTATTCAGTGGTAAATCTCAATCACCTTTACAATAAATGGTCTGCAGATTTGACTTTTGGAAATAACAATAAGTGTCGATTTACCAATAAAGGAATGCTTATTTGAAGGGTTCTCTTGAAGAACGACTTGAGGGAAGAACTTGACAGGAGAAGAAGAGCAGCCTGAGCCGCCTTCGGGCCTCTGAAGGAAGCCACAGACCAACTGACGGACCCGGAGCTTCGTGCCCACCTGTTCGACTCAACCGTTCTCCCGGCGCTCTGTTACGCAGCTGAGACTTGGCCCGACACCGTCGCCACTTCGAAAGCTTTGAGGACCACCCACACTCAGATAATCGCCGGGGGCAGGCGGTCAGCAGAATTTTGGGGCGTGGCCAAACCTTCAGCGGGCGGCACTTCCTTTACGGTCGCATATTCTGCCAGCGGGCAGCAATACAGCGTTTTTTGCAAGCGCTCGGCAAATAATTTCATTCAGCAAGCGCTGGCCAAACTTTCAGCAAGCGCTCGGACTCTTTTTAGGCGTTTTCGGGCGTACGTCGAGCGCAGGTAAGACTGTGTGGCAGAGGTGTCACCGTTGGTTTAATTACTCAAGTTTGAGGTACTTTCTCTCAGCGGAAAGTACTTGGGGGTTGCGCGGTCCTCCACAAAGGACCGTGCGGCCCCCGAAATTCTTGCATATTCTCGCGGAAAGTCCGCGAGAATGCGGCCACTGCGCCGCAGCTAATCCATAAAGAAACCGCGGTTGTTCTTCAAGCGTTCGTCTTTAATTTCGCTACCTTTCTTCCAAATTTCTGCAAGCGGGCCGCAAAAAATCAACGAACTTTTTTTCCGGTGCGCGCTTGCTCAAAATTCGCATGGCCGCCTGCCCCCGGCGGTTATCTGAGCAGAGCGCTAGAGCGTAGTCTTCTAAAGATGACCCGACACAAACAACATCTCGTCGGACTTCGCAGTACGGATATGAGGAGAATGTCCCGTCTTCGTGACCCAGCGGATTATGTTGCGAAAGCGAAGCATCGATGGCATAGGTGCGATAGGGGGAGCCGGGATCTCCCCAGGTGAAGGGGGTCTCGGCTGTTTCCGACCTTCCAGGGTGAAGGGGGTATGTGAGTCTAGGGGGGGGGAGAGAAATGGTAAGAAAGCGTGGTATGAAAAGCTCTAATTTGTACCTTATTTAGGCAAAAAAGTGAAAAAAAATTCAAAAATTTTCAAAAGAAATTTAAAAATTTTAAAGAAATTTGTTATAAAGATCTGTGCTCCCGTTTCACTGCATCAACAAAAAAAAGAAAAAGCAATAAGGTTTATCCCAAAAGATGTACAAGTTAGGCAAAACTTCATTTCCTGCGCATCATCATCAACAATATCACTATCGCTAACGTCAGAGACAACAAATTCGGTGCCTGAAAAATCTTCTTCTTCCTTCAAAAGGTCATCGAAATGGAAGTAGAATTGCGTGCAAAGCGTTCTAAGTCAAAAATGGATTTGAAACTTTTTTCTTCTTCTAAGCACATTTGTGATTTTTTTCCTGGCCCTCTGGTAGCATCAGAAAGTCAGCAGGTAGGTGACCAGTTTCTTCATACCAACTTTAAGGATATTTCAAAAAGTCATGCGGTAACAGCCTGTCTGGACCACTTATACCAATCCTTTAAATGAAGTTTTTAGATAACAATGTGTTTAGTAGAGGTTGACAAATCTTAAGTGTTTGCTTAGATGCTCTATCGTTGTACGACTTCTGCATTGTGTTCTGATAACAGAGTAGATAGAAAATTTCTTTTTTCACCTCTGCCGTGCTAGTCGGAATGGAAACTAGCTTTGCTAGTAAGTCCATCAGATTTTTGCGGTAAGTAATGAGAAAAGAGCCAGATCGCATATGCTTTCGCAACACGAGAAGGAAATAGTGCATACTTTTTTGGGCCTTTTCGAACTCTGGCTTCACCTCCTCTGGCATACTTCCTGTTAACTGACGAGAAAGCTGCTCAACTTCTTCTTCAACAGCATCTGCGGAATAGCCGAAAAAAAGTAGATACTATGCTGCGCGTTGCTTTTTTTTCAATATCATAGGTCATAATGTCACAAGGCGAATAACTTCCAAAAGCATAAATTACAGAGTTGGGTTCGCACTCCAGCCGGGACCTAAGTGCAGTAACTATGCTTTGTACTAACACCTTCCTTTTGTTCATATCCATGTTGTGAATTTAGCAGCCTTGAAATCTTCAGCAACCTGAAGATCAGCAATGGACTTTTGGACTTTTCCTCATTGAAACTAGGCAATCTGCTTGGATTCCTTGTGTAGGAAATCGGAGAGTTTCGCTCAATTGTCAACTCTGTATCAATCGACAACATTTTCGTCGGCGTAAGATTCTCCTTCTGCCTCGCTATTGAACTGGAACACATGCGAGTCATCTGCGATTTTGTAAAGTATTCTGCCTGCCGTTTCCTCTTCAAACTGCCAACCTTTCCAAAACATTGAGGGATAAATTATTAACATGTTATTCTTCTGGATGTTTTAAAGTTTTTGATTCATTGAACCCAACCACCTTCTCTACAAATTAGGTAAGGTGAGTCTAGAGCGTTTTCGTGAAAGTGACCTTCTTCAGCACTAGATTTACAGAGTATAGATTTCAGAAATGGGCAGGTTTTTGTGTGAAGGTGTGGAAATTTACAATCTCCCATAGTTTTTTGAGTGTGCGCTAACAGTGATGGCATAACTGTCAATCAAAAGCGCATTTTTTACCAAAAAAACATAAACATATAACAACGATAAGGACGCTCAAATAGACGCGTTCGCTCACGATCCCGTTAGTGCTGATAACGATGTCAATCCATAGCACATTTTTTACCGGAAATCATAACTTTTCATGGAGACGCTCAATCAGAGCAAACTTTGTACCGTTAGAAAGAGCTGGTGAAAAAACCTATAATACCGACTGCTCCAATTTTTGTTGCAAGTTTCTGATTTTTATGACCCTACACAAAAATTCAAATTTTGAGTGATTTTGGTTTTGAGCTTCTATCTATGTAACAGATGATCATTACTAAGCAGCTGAGATGTCATTATAAAGAGCATGACTTATCCTTTCAAATAAAAATGAAAGCAGTCAAATCGGCCGGAAAAATCGAAAGTTATGAATTTTTGAAAATCGTGCGCAAAAACTTTCGGGACGATCTATACAATGTGTGGGCTTTCACGGGTCACCGAAGCAAATGATTTTTAGAGCCGGGAAGCAAAGAAGCTCTAACATGCTGTATACCTCGACATAGACCATCGACTTTTTTCTAGGTCTTCTGTGCCGCGAAATATGAGGGATTTCATGTGCTTCAAAAATTAAATGATTTTGTGCCCTCACTTTCTGCTCTCCAAATAAATGCTACGAGAAAGTCGACGGTCTACTTTGTTAATGAAGACTTGCTCTTTAATACAGATAGATAATTAGCAGTGATTAGGTCTTTCTTTGGCAGAAATCTGCTGTTGAAAATGACCATGTTTTCAGATAAAATGCGGTGTATCTCTCGATAGAGGGGGGCTAGAAAGAAGTCGACAGTCTAGATCGAATCCCCTTTTCCTGAGCTTTCGAATGGTATATAGG